TATGAAAATAAATTTCAATAACAGCTTTTTTTAATATTTGAGAACCAAAATTAGTAAGATTTTTAATTTGTCGTAGATTTAATTCATTTCTGCAGCTAAAATTAATTTTTGTTTGAAATCTTAAGATAGAATTTTATGAAAGTTTTATGATTTGCAATGAATCAAAACCTTTTTTGTATATTAGACTTTTTTCTATAATTTCTAGCAATATCAAATTTTACTTTAATTAAATGTTAAAATTGTTAAAAAATATATATTCATTAAAAAAAGTTAGATGTTTTGAGCTTAACTGATTAATTTATATGCATTGCATGGGTACTGGTCATTTACAGTTGGTCAATTGATCAGCGTGAATAATAAAATAAACTTTAATAATTAAGTTTTAATCGATATTTGATTAGCAAAATTAATTAAATTTTTAATTTATCACGATTTTAATTCATTCTTACAATTAAAATTAATTTATATTTCAAATTTAAATATCAAATTTTATGAAAAATCAATAATTTATTAGAATTTTGCATGTTAAACTATAAAATAAATTCTAGCAATATCAAAGAAACATTTTAATTAAATGTTGAAATATTAAAAAAAATCGAATCATTTAAAAAATTAGATAATTTGAACTTAATTGATTAATTTGTGTGCATTGCAAAATTAATAAGATTTTTAATTTGTCGTAGACTTAATTCATTTCTGCAGCTAAAATTATATATAATAGACTTTTTTCTATAATTTCTAGTAATATCAAATTTTGCTTTAATTAAATGTTAAAACTGTTAAAAAATATATATTCATTAAAAAAAGTTAGATATTTTGAGCTTAGTTGATTAATTTGTATGCATTGCACAGGTACTGGTCATCTACGGTTGCTCATTTGATCAGCATAAATAACTAAATAAAATTTAAAAATTAAGTTTCAATCAATATTCGACTAGCGAAATTGATTAAATTTTTAATTTATCACGGTTTTAATTCATCCTTACAATTCAAATTATTTTTTACTTCAAATCTAAATATCAAATTTTATGAAAATTCAATAATTTATTAGCATTTAATTTTTAAGCATTTAATAAAAATGATTTTTTGATATTGCTAGAATTTATTTTATAGTTTAATATACAAAACCTTAACAAATTATTGAATTTTCATAAAATTTGATATTTAAATTTGAAATAAAAATCAATTTCAATTGTAAGAATGAATTAGAACAGTAGAAAATAAAAAATTTAATCAATTTCGCTAATAAAATATTGATTAAAATTAAATTTTCAAAGTTTATTTAATTATTTATGCTGACAAAATGACCAACCGTAAAATGACCAGTACCTATGAAGTGCGTAAAAATTAATCAATTAAGTTCAAAATAACCATTTTTTTTCAATGAATTGATATTTTTCAATATTTTAACATTAATTTAAAACTAGTTTTTGATATTTACTACTATTTATTTTGTAGATTAATATGCAAAATTCTAATAAATTAATGAATTTTCATAAAATTTGATATTTAAATTTGAAATAAAAATTATTTTCAATTGTAAGAATGAATTAGAACAGTGGCAAGTTAAAAATTTAAATAATTTTGCAAATAAAACATTGTTTAAAACCTAATTTTGAATGATTATTTTATTATTTATGCCGATCAAATGACCAATCGTAAATAACCAGTACCTATGCAATGCATATAAATTGATCAATTAAGCTCGAAATATCTAACTTTTTTTAATGAATATATATTTTTTTAACAATTTTAATATTTAATTAAAGTAAAATTTGATATTAGTAGAAATTATTTCGTAGTCTAATATACAAAAAAGGCTTTGATTCATTGCAAATCATAAAATTTTCATAAAATTCGATCTTAAGATTTCAAATAAAAACTAATTTTAGCTGCAGAAATGAATTAAATCTACGACAAATTAAAAATCTTATTAATTTCACCTCTCAAATATTAAAAAAAAAAAAAACTTAGTTATTAAAGTTTATTTTCTTATTACGTATGCAACGCATAAAATTAAATAACTGAATTCAAAATAACTAATTTTTTTTTAGGAATTGATATTTTTTAATAGTTTTAACATTTAATTAAAATCAAAATTGATAAAATTAGAGATTTTTTCTCCCTTTAATATACAAAAGCTCTTGTAAATTATAAAATTTTCACCAAAATCAATTTTTAGGTTTGAAATAATGCTTAAGCCTAAGCCCAAGCATTTTTTTATTATTTGAGATGTCAAATGACCACAATGTATGTGATCAGTTCCCGCACTATGCGTATATAATAATCAATTTTTTTTTTTTAATTAAATGATATTTTTTAATAGTTTTAACATCCTTTGAAATTAAATTTTGATAATAGTAGAACTTCTTACCTAATTAAGTATGTAAATACCCGTACAAATTATGGGATTTTTATAAATGGGTTATTTAAATTTGAAATATAAATTAATTTTAATTGTAAGAATGAATTAAAATCGTGATAAATTAAAAATTTAATTAATTTTGCTAATCAAATATCGATTAAAACTTAATTATTAAAGTTTATTTTATTATTCACGCTGATCAATTGACCAACTGTAAATGACCAGTACCCATGCAATGCATATAAATTAATCAGTTAAGCTCAAAACATCTAACTTTTTTTAATGAATATATATTTTTTAACAATTTTAACATTTAATTAAAGTAAAATTTGATATTGCTAGAAATTATAGAAAAAAGTCTAATATACAAAAAAGGTTTTGATTCATTGCAAATCATAAAACTTTCATAAAATTCTATCTTAAGATTTCAAACAAAAATTAATTTTAGCTGCAGAAATGAATTAAATCTACGACAAATTAAAAATCTTACTAATTTTGGTTCTCAAATATTAAAAAAAGCTGTTATTGAAATTTATTTTCATATTTATGTTGTCAATTGACCACACCGTAACTGACCGTTATCCATGCAATGCATAAATTTAATCAATTGAGTTCAAAATAACTAATTTTTTTAAATGAATTGATATTTCTTAATAGTTTTAACATTTAATTAAAATCACAATTGATAAAACTAGAAATTATTTCCTCGTTTAATATACAAAAACTCTTGGAAATTATAAAATTTTCACCATAATCAATTTTTAGATTTGAAAAAATGCTTAAGCCTAAGCCTAAGTACACCCTAAGCCTAAGCCTAAGCATTTGTTTATTATTTAAAATGTCAAATGACCGCGATGTATGTGACCAGTACTATTCAACGCTTATAAATTAATTAAGCTCAAAATATCTAATTTTCTTTACGAACTGATATTTTTTAATAGTTTTAACATTTTAATTAAATTGAAATTTGACAACACCGGCATTTATTTCATAGTTTATTATGCAAAAACTTTTACAAACTGCACAATTTTCTTAAATTATGGCATTTAAATTTGGAAAATAAATTAATTACAATTGTAAGAATGAAATAAAACCGTGACAAACAAAGAATTTAATTAATTTTGCTAATAAAATATTGATTAAAAGTTATTTTTTAAAGTTTTTTTTAATATTTTATGCTGACCAATTGACCACACCGTGATTGACCAGTACCTATGCAACGCTTATAAATTAATCAATCAAGTTCAAATTATCTAATTTTTTTAATGATTTGATTTTTTTTTAATATTTTAACATTTAAATAAAATGAGTTTTTGATATTGCTAGAATTTATTTTATAGTTTAATATACAAAACTCTGACAAATTATTGAATTTTCATAAAATTTGATATTTAAATTTGAAATAAAAATTAATTTCAATTGTAAGAATTAATTAGAACAGTGGCAAATTAAAAATTTAATTAATTTTGCTTCTAAAATATCATTCAGAACTCAATTTCTAAACTTGATTTTATTATTTTTGCTGGTCAAATGACTACAATGTATGTGACCAGTATCCATGAAATGAATAAAAAATAATCAATTAAGTTCAAATTATCTAATTTTTTTTTATGAATTGATATTTTTCAATATTCTAACATTTAATGAAATTAAATTTTGACAATTCCAGCATTTATTATATAGTTTAATACGCAAAGCACTAATAAATTATTGAGTTTTCATAAAATTTAATATTTAAATTTGAAATTAAAATTAATTTTAATTGTAAAAATAAATTAGAACCGTGACAAACTAAAAATTTAATCAATTTCGCTAATCAAATATTGATTAAAACTTAATTATTAAAGCTTATTTTATGTTGCCAATTGACACATCGTGAATGACCAGTACTTATGCAACGCTTATAAATTAATCAATTAAGCTCAAAATATCTGACTTTTTTTATTGAATTGATTTTTTTAAATATTTTAACATTTTATTAAATTGAAATTTGACAATGCCGGGATTTATTTCACAGTCTATTTTATTAAATCCGCTACTGAAATATTGCTAAGAACTTAATTATTAAAGTTTATTTTATTATTAATGATGTCAAATGACCACAATGTATATGACCAGTTCCTGTACAATGCACATAAAAAACTTGCTGAGATCTAATTTTCTATTTTTTTTTAAATGTATTGCTATTCCTTAAAAGTTTTAACAATTAAAATGAAATTTAATAATACTAGAAGAAATGAAAGTAAATTTTTTTTTTTTGAAAAAGATAAAGTGAATTTTTGAAAGTGTAAGGTGAACTTCAAAGTGAATTTTGCAAACTTTCCTTTTTGGAAAAATTGTCAAATATCTACTATTGAATGTGTATAGATCTTTAAATGAATTACAATTTTTCCTAACATTTTTGGCATTCAATTAAAACAAAGTTTAGCAGATTTAAAAATTTTGTCAGTTTCAAATTAGTAAAAACTCTTAGGAATTGTCGAGAAATCCTATTGATCCATACCTAAATCTGCAATTAAAATTAATTTCAACTTCAAAATAAAAATTAAAATCATCATTTGCAAATTTTATTAATTTCTACATTGAAAGATTGCTTCAAAGTGAATTTATTTAACTTTCTTTCTTACATAAACCATCAAATATCCAAGTTTTCCTTGTTCATGTGCCATTTGGAGTTCTGTTTCTTTCTTAATGTTCGGAATATCATAGCTAACATAGAGCTAAAAAACCGAGAAGTATAGTAAATTTGCAGTCAATGAAATAAAATCAAAAGAATAGATTTGAAGTTACCATTAAATCATTCTAAAGAAATTCACCTAGCGCCTTTTTCAGCATGATATTCTATGAGGAATAAGGTACCCATATATATCTTCACAAGTTTGATAATATTGTACAATTTTTGCTGACAATTTCAAAATAATATAAAATTGAAGCAGACGATTTCGCAGTACAGCTGCCTACAACAAATATTCTTTGCAACAGCAAAAAATATTGAAAATCATCATTATTATCATCATAGTTACATTTAAATTTATTGAAGAAAGATTGAAACTGAAAGTTTGAGAGATATCCTTTAGAAAATATACTGAATGAAAAAGCGAAACAATTATCAGCAGCAGGAACCAAGATTATCTCTACAATGTGCTGAGTATTCTATCTCTATTTCAATTTCGCTTTTGTATAGTTTCAAAATTCATAATTTGAATCCCAGCTTTTCTCCCACTTTTTATACTTTTTTAAAAGTTCATTTATCGTTCCTTCTTTTTTTTTTTTTTTTTCATTCTCATCCTATAATTCAACGAGTGGCTTGCACATAAAGTCATTTAAATAATTTTTATGACTGAATGAGTAATGAAGCTGATAATGAATAACCAAACTTCTGGATCCAATTATTTTTTCCATATCATCGATTGCTGGTGCCATGAAAAAAGATTAAGTTTATGCTGAGTTTAGCAACCTTATCTGAACTGATAGAATTAAACACATAATTTTTGATTGAATTTTAAATGAAAGATAATTTGCAATAAGTGACTGACCCATTAGCAGTGGTTAATCATACAATGGTGTATCGGTTTAATTAGCTTCTTTGACAAGAAAACATATTACCGTGATATTCAAGTTGAACTTCACGGCAATATTCCTCCTGCAAATTTCCAGAATTCAATAAGAAATCGAATGAAATTTTCATCTCGAAATATTCGCACCAATTAATTTTTATATATTCAAGCGCAATTTCTGACTATCAATTTTGAATTTCAATTACTAATATTAATTCACTCAATACCAAATTTCACTATAAATATGGCAGTCTCAATGCCTTTTTGAATTTACACAGAGACTTTCTCACCTGATCAACAGCTCAACAATTTAAGTTGCCCAACTTAAATACTGAATATTTGCCATTATTTAACACGACCTCTCTGCATTTTATGGAACTATTTATTTGCATGCACTTTAGCAAATTCTATTGCATGCTTTATTTTACTCGCAGTAGCGCATGCATTTTTACCTCATTTATGAATACATCCACTGATAACTTTGTTTCTTACTTTTCATTGCTATTTGTTGAATCAAAGGTTGAAATCTTAGCCTATGCACATGTACTGAACTTAAGCACAGAGATTATTTGTCCCCTAGTAAATCATTCCTTATTTAATTGCAATTTGATTTTAAGAGTTCCTGTCAACTTGATTTTTTGGTTCGCCCCTCTTGAGATCACACCAAAAAAGTGCTTTGCTTAGTTGTTTAAAAAGGAGTAAGAATTTTTGCTAATGTAAAGTTTAAGAATTAAAACTTGCAAAAAATGAAGGAATGCAAATGTGAGAACAATCTTCTAACTTGTCCTAACCACTACCAGCAATAGCAAGTTATTATAAAAGAAAACCAAAAAAAAAGGCTAACAGAGGAGACGTCTATTTTACACCTTTCAAAGGTAACATATTAGAGCAGAATAAATAATTTTGAGCTCATCACAATTTGACTATAGAATGGTTCGACGAACAAATAAATGCCGAAATGTAGCAGTAAAGCGATGGTAATCGAAACGGGCAGTGCTGGAGTGGTTTCATCGTCGCTAGACAGTACTGTAAGGGTGATCACTAGTCCGACCAGTATGCCGACCACTGAGCCAGCAACGCACATTGTGCTACGTGTCGCGGCGGCTTTACCTACCAGCAAACTATAGAAAACGAAGTCACCCATGCCAAGACGAACTGATGCTGAAATTTGCATATTTGCGAATTTCAATTTAAATTTAATATCATATAGTACATATTATTAGCATTCTGAATTGTGGGATGATTGGCTTGTTGATTGTGTGATGACTGGTCAGTTGCCGAGTTGGCAGGTCAAGAAGATGATTTGGCAAGAAAATAATTCCCAAAGAAATAAGTATTTCACAGCTTAGATTTCCCATAGCTTTATCTTTCTGTCGCGTTATGGAAATTAATTGAAGGGATTAATTAGATAAAGTTCTGAGCAGGATAATACCTATTTAGAAAAAATATGTTAATCACATTGATAATGAAGGATTTGTATAATCAGAACGAAATTTTCAATTTATTTTCTTATTCCCTATTCAAAAATTAATCTCATAAGTGCCAATCTCCCCATACCTGTTCAACGAAAAAATTTCGACAAAAATTTGGGGGTGTCCTTACATCCATCATTCAGAGCATCGTAGACTGTAAATTTCGTTTCTTTCTTTTGTTCGTCGGATGTTCCAAACTTTGTGCAAATTTTCCAGATCCTTTCATTACATATATTACTTTTGCGACCTAACGCCTTACGCTGTCGAATATGTTCGCTCTCTGCTTCCTGTCATTTAGACAAAGTTCACTTCAAAATTTTTAGGGCTCAAGACATGGATCTGTCGAAAGATAGGATAAGATGTGCTAAATCGATGAAAAATACCGAATCCAGCCTTGTTGTGGAGCTTGTTTTATGGCTTCTCCTCACTTTTTGTTGTTTTGGCTCGACAAGACGTCTGTTGATTGTCTGAATGATTAGCTTTGAAAAGGCTGCTTTTGTTTCTTTTTCCATGTCTGATGTTTTCAGTTATGTTGTAAATCTCATGTGAACGATTTGTAGAGATAAAGAATTTTATCAAAACTGGTCCACAAAGGCCTTTTTTCTTCTAAAAAATTTTTTCTTTTTTTTGTCTCTTTCGGGAAACGGATGGTAACCAACTGACAAGAGAAATAGAATTTACTACCACAGCAGAAAGCTCACTGCCTAAGAGAACTTACGATTTCTTCCCTCCGCTCATCATTTCTATCCTCAGCTGTGAACATTAAGAATCGCAATACCTGTAAGGAGTAAGCAGTTGTCGCAAATTGCTGTTGAAAGAGCGCTTTACAAATAAGTTTCTTTAGTTCTTAATGCTTATTATATCAAGCAATTGAGAAGTAATTGCCTTACTTACTTGATCGCTGTATTCGTGAGCTTTTTCACTGATACGTCGCAATGGACCGATGGGTGCAAGCACTGCGAATGCATCTGAATGCTTTCTTGTATTCGATTAGGAATCAATTCAATCTCTTTATGGAATAATTAAGATTAGAATGTTTTATCTTCTCTAAAAGATAAAATTTATCTCTTTTCTCAAGTCTTTCCCCTTTTCTGGTCATTTTGATCGGCGATCTAATTTGTTGCAATGATCGCATTCATACGATTCTGCAACTGTCCACAATCTCATATGCACTGCTTACAGTCAGAGAGGGTTTCACAGAAATATTACTTAGATGGTACAGCGAACTCATCAACTTACCCCAAATAATAATGCATACCAATACAAACCACGCAGTATGTGTAGGGAACATTCGAAGGTAAAATACAGAAACCAATGAACAGTTGCAAATGACGTAGAATTGATGCATGTAAAGAGGAGTTTTTTTGGTGAAGAATACGAGGATACCGATGGTACCATATGTAATAACAGTAAGTGTTGTGAGTATAGGAGGAGCGGTCTGGAAGCCAATTGCTTTGAATAAGTCTCTGAAATATCTTATTATTCTTATGATGATAAAGGATAGATTAAGGATAATATGATAAATGATAGTTAATGACATAGTTGGGCTAATGTCATCTGAAATTCACGGAGGAGAATTTCTTGACTTCTCACTGATTAGTTTCTAAATTGTGGCATCTCTTGCTTTTCAGAAGTTCAACGCCAAAAAATATTTTGTAAAGTGTTCTCTGAAGGCAATGGTACAGTAAACACTTATGATAGCTCAGTTTGTTGAGTGAATGTATTATTTATAAAGTGACACCGTTTTGCATATGGTTCTGATGCAACTAAATAATAATTGGCGCTATTTGTTTCAGCCTGTTCCTTCCGGATTTAAAATACATGTTGCAATTACTTTGGATTGGATAATCTTTACTGGTTTTTATTCTGATTTATGTTTGTAGTTCGACTTTCAAATTACTGTGTGTTAACTGTTTAAACCTTCAAAATCTAAGTTTTCCTAGTTTTTGTGAATTGGAGCAGACGTTGTTGCATTGAAGATTCGACCAAGGATTTTCATCGTTTGAAATTAATAAGAAATAAGAGAGAAGAGAATTCAGGTCCACCATTAGAGTAAGCTAGTTGAAAGCATACACCAGGAATGAAGCGAACACCCCGAAGATGATGAGTACACAGGACATGTATAGCCACATCTGAACCAAACACCTGTAGTTGTAGAGTGCCATAGCAAGCAGTGCAAAGCTTATCACAGCTAGCATCAATACGCATCCGATTCCGTTTACCTGTGAAACTTCATGTTGGCTTTTTGGAGCAAATATACCACATAAAAGCTTCCTTAACAACTAACTCGAAATTTCTTACTACGAAATTAGATTTAAACCAACAGTGTAAAGCAATTCGAGCTACTGTGAACTAGAAGCATATTGATTGGAAATTGTTCCAGAAGCAGTCTCAAGTTCCAAGATTCATTTTTGCATGATATTCACCAGGACCAAGCTAGAGAATTTGACCAGAGAATCTCAGTGATCTCAACTATGATTGCAATTATTCCGCAGCATTCGACAAGTGCTCGAAGCTTCTTTGCTATTAAATGGGTTCTTCTCTTTTTTAAATCATTACCCGCAAAGGTAAGATAAGCTATCACTTAATGCAAATCATCAATCTAGTAGAAGGAAGTAAAGGTAAATGAAGCCAACAAAGTTTCATTTGTCTGCAGTCAATTTTCTGACTATTTCCAAGTATCTGGAGCTCTAACCATCCCATCGACGATTTCATTTCCGGTTGTATGATTATGTCCCGGATCGAGCATATAATAGAAGACAGAATTCGAATCCGTTTTGGTATGATATACACCAATCCAAACAATTAGCGTTAACATTATGTTAAGAGTGACAGGAACCAGCAATCTTTCAACCTGAAAATATATTTCACTATTTCTCCAGAACAGATCAAACAATGTTCAGCCGTAATTTCATATGCTGTAACTCTACTTTAAAAATTACGATCTTGACAGAAATATTTTCTGTCAAGATCGCAATTTCAAGTAATTTCAAATTTGCTTGCTAGTTTTTACTGCAATCAACTACATTTTTCATCCAAAATAATTTTTAATACAGTTGAAATAGGAGCTTAATGAAGAGAGAGATGCAGAAACGCAATAAAGGTGCGGCTGGCTGTACAACTGAATAGTTTATGCATTCTTCTTTGATGGGTCATTTTTGAAAGAAAATATTTTCTGCTTCATTTCCGAAGAACGTCATTTTTTCAAAAAAGAAAAGCTTTCAACATTTTGCTGATTCGAAATATTTCTAGCAGAAAAATAAGTGGTCCGTCTCGGAAAAACGGAATGGTCTATTTTTATTTTTCCAGATTGTTCTTATTTTTTGGTTTGCACAAAACCAGTTTAAGTGGATAATCACTTTCAGTTTAACTGATTTGGCTCTACTGCCACGAAAATATTTGTTTTTATGGAGACAAAAATGGAGGAAGAAGTGGAAGCAAAAGAAATCCGGAATTTATGCTTAGCTCGATAGAATTCATGAAAAAACCTGTTGCATTTAACTGTAATATCATTTGGAAAAATGAACCTGTTTAAGCTGTTTTGTCCAGTGTTCAATAGCCGCCAACATTTCTTCATCATCTCTGGACATTTCACCTACTTCTGTTTGTGACATAGCGTACTTTGTGTACTTGAAACATTTCGCGAATAAAGATGTGTTCAACTTTCAACATTGAAAGCGTAGAAGGATGAATCCCAAAGTCATTCAATTCAAGTTTGAGCTGGTTAGTTCAAATTCTTCCTGATTCCGGAATTAACTTACCATCAGCTGATGGAAAGAGTTTGATATACATATAACAAAAGGCCAGAAAAGCTTTAGAAATCAAATAGGACCATTTCATTCTCTCCTAATCCCGCTTACTTCTCCTCCTATTCTCCTTCTACCTTTGTCTCTTTGACACTTCCAGACTCAAGAGAAAACTTGAAAATCAAGTGCACTCTCACCAATTATCAGTAGAGGACACGACAATAAAAAGTTTAGCGACCAATAAGCGTCTCCACAGAGAATAAAAATGGAGTTATTTCTTCTTCTCACTTTATTCAACCTACCTTTCATTTGGCTAACATATTTTGTAAACTTTAATAATTTGCATAAAAAATGTGTATGAAGTACGATCTCCTCACTGTCTGAGCCCTCTAAATTTCTCTTATATTTCAAAGAGATGTGACCACAGTTTCACATTAAATCTCAGTTGCCATCCTCGCACTCAATCGATAACTAAAATAGTTGTGAGAGCAACGGTTTGTAAAATAGCTGCTGGGTTTACTGTTTATGGCTGGCAGACAGTAGTCAATATCATCATTGGAAAGCTTTCACTGAAAATTTTGCAGAAGCATTTATTATAGAAATATCTTTATAAACCGAATTACAATCAGCAGAAGCAACTCAAAGAATACTTCGATAGTAGAACCAAGCGGTAGAAATATGGAATACTGCGTGGAATATCAGTCAGTACACACAAAATTTGTCATCAAAAGAAAGAGAGGAATCTTATGTGAATAATCAACTCCGATAGTTATTGGAGAAATCGGTGCTGTAAGTAGCTAGAGGTTAGAGCTTAGCAAGGATAATAATCCGATATAGTGCCACGTTTAAACAGAATTGAGGACAGCAACGACAAAAGCAACTCAACTAACGATCAGCAAAGTAAAGAAGTTTTACTTTCAAGCAAGAGACTGAAGTAATTGCACTAATTCGCTGCCACGTTTTCAGGAGAGCATCAATGAACGGATTATCTCTCTTTGTCACAATCGGTTCCACTTGGTTATAGCTCGTATGCATTACTGAATATGTTTCGATGAGAGTTAGAATCTTCCGCTGTCATTGAATAGATACAATGTGCTTTTCTTTTTTATCAACTACTGCTCAACGTTCCTGGGCAGTCTGATCCCACCTTGGACTTAATATAACTGCATTCATAGTCAATTTATAAGCAATCGTAGCAAACTGTAGCGGATTGCAAATAAGGTGCCCAGCAGGGTGGGCAACGATGGTTGCGCGGGCATCTTCGTTGCAATCAGTGAGTCACTGAAACACACATAACGGAGTATTCCGATTTCGTTGTACTGTTGCCTCTTTCCATGGAAAGCCATCGAACCTCCGAATTACCCGAGTGAGGACTCTTCTTTGTGCCGTCAGTTCATTAGGTCTGACATAATATCACATTGATAATGTCACACTGATATGCTGTGTTGCCGTTATCACTCCCGACTCACTCCTTTGCATCTTTCAAATCAGCGCCCACACATAAAATGGAGGTGCTTAGACAAGAACGTTTGCTTCTTAATTTTTCTCTCTAATTTTTGCATAAACTGTTTTATGACTCAGTCAATGCCAGTTACCCATCTTTTCCGTATGCTCATTTAAGATAATGCCGCCGCGTTCATTTATATATGTGTCTATGACCGAATTTTTCTTGAAATAGCATAATTTGCTGAAAGCCGTGAAGTTAACCTAATTAGAACGAAACAACAATGCGACTCGATGGCGCAGCGTGCCATTATCTCAACAAATGTTACCTCTAACAAAGGTGTCATCTCATCATTGGAACTAACATAGGTGCGAATGAACATCTGAATGCAATGTGTCAGCATGTCGACATGCAGCGCGCAGTACTATTCGTGTACTTGTGCTCCCGAAAGACTGACATGCAGCGACATTTCCAAATATTATCTTGCTGACATTTAGAGACATTTAGACATTTAAATTTGACGCAAGTTATACGAATAATCATCAAGTGAAGGCCAATACGACTTCCTTAATTATGAAGAGGTATTATAAACATTGAGAAGTTCAATAAGCCAGTCATCACTATGGTTGAATTTATTTTTGATGGATATATTATCAAGTAAAAATCATTTCCAAAACAAAAGAAAATTTGAAATGGTTGAATAATGTTAAGAAATTATCATTCTGTAACTTTATCAATGTAGCACTTCTGTTTTATCTTACCATCAGATAACATTTCAGACTGTCAACTAAGTTTTGGCATTGTTACAGTTCACAACAAACATTACCTCATATAAATGTAAACGTATTATGTCATCTAAACACTATTGCATTGTTTATTTGTTAATCACTGAATGCATTTCTTAATGATTTTAGAAAACATTACTGCAAGTTACCATCATTTCTTTCTTCTATCATCGCTTATGTCAAAAATTTTGTAGGTAAGTTATTTGTCACAGAGCCAAAAGAACTTACAATTCTGTGAAATTCTCCAAAAGCACAAGCATCACAGACACACTTGTCATCCTCCCAGCTTGCAATTATTCTTTCTCTTTCTTTCTCCTTGCAGCCCACACACTCAACGCTTTGCGCACTCACTCACTGCTAATCGTACCTTATCACTGTTTCGCTCCTCTCTCTACGAGGTAATTGCTCTCTCTCCCTTCATCTATCGATGAATGTACTTTTATCACTGTCCACTTAAACTGATTTCTCTGTAATTCTCTCAGACTTTCTTGATCAGAAGAGTTGACAGTGTCATGACTAGCTTTGTAGATACTAATCTTGGCATTTTCTAAATAATTCAAGACAGGTGAACTTCTTAGATAAGTATACACTGGCTCTGAGGCAGAAGTATTTCTATTTAGAAGAGTTTTCGCAAGAATTTTACCAGTTTAATAAAACCGAATTATATGTAGAAATAAAATTAAAGCCACAGAACTAAGGAAAGTACTGTTTGAGTGTTCTTTGGACAAATGTTCCAATGTTATGTAAGAAATTTGATATTCATCTTTCTTGTAGCTGAGCTTATTTGCATTGTTTGTTAGCAAAGAATACGTGTTGATTAGATTGTTTACAGTTATCAGTGTACCCCTTTTGTTGTTTGTCGATTGCTTGATAACTATAAATTACATTAGAATTTCAAGGGTTAACAGCTGACCTTCTCTGCGATATTGTAAATGATGCGTCTTAATGCTTACTATATAACCTTTACCAAGGTTAAGTTTTCTGGGTGGCAATGTGACATTCATGCTTCCCCACAGTATTTGCTGAAACTTTCTAATACTGTTTAATAACTACGATCAACTTTTCAAGTCAGATTCTATTTTACGATATCAGGCATCAATTAAGGATGGTTAATCATTTATATCAAAAGAAAAAAATAAATCCGAATGACGTAGTTCCTTCCATAGTTACATATCAAAAGCTAAAAGTGATTTGATTTTAAAACAACAACAACATCGTTTGATGTCTTGGAGCGCAGATGTCTTGGAGCTTCCAGTAACAAATGCAGTCATTTCTAGACTGAAAAATGTGATAAAAGAGCAGCTGAAGAGATTGGGAAAGCATGCATGAAGCGTCTTTGGAGGCAACGAGTTGCGGTGCCGGAACCCAATGTACAAGAGAATAAGTAAGATGGTTAGGGCAGAATGATAAATGGAATGGAACAGAGAGAGAGAAATTGATCGGAATACCTACCCATGGCATTTGCGCCCTTGCAACAGCTTGGGCAGAAAGGCCATTGTGAGAGGAGCGCTGGAGTCCAGTCGCTACCCGGGAATTACTACAGCCAACAATACTCTGTAATTGGTATCTGTCAATGACAATTTTGTCAAAGCTCACTTGTGCACTTTTCCATAATGTTCAAACAATACAATCTTTAGGTCTATGAATTTAATATAATTTTATTTCCATAAGCCAAAATGTTGTCAGTGCCATTACCACTAGCGCTCTCCTAAAAAACCTTTTGGTTTTGACGATGCTAATTTTATTTTCTCTATTGGATCATGTCATCAAACAGTTAAAAGTGTGGAGATATGACTTGAGACAACGGCCAATTTGTTCATTGTATCGTGTAAGTTAGGGTAGACTGCTATAGTCAGTACTTCAGCGTTTGTTACAGTGATCCAATTAATATGAGTATTTAATATTTTGTAGTATTCACTCCTTTTTTCTTTTGGCGGAATTTGGACATTATATTTCCAAAGTTTGTTAATGTGTCATTAAGCGTTACTGTCACCATTATCGCTTTTAAACAAATGGTTCATTGGTCATCGACAGTTACTACATCCTAAGTCTAAGTTTGAATGTAAGTGTTATACTAATCCTTTTCCATATGATATGATTCGTTTTGACGGCAATTTTGATAAATGCTGATTTTGTCGCTTCCTGCATTAGATTACCTTCGTAAAACATTACCTTCCATATACAGAAAAGTAATATTGTTCTTGTGAAGATCTTAAATCTCAACTGTTGTTTTACAAAATTTTTTCACGACATATGGCCGCATGTGAGGCATTTACTTGAATATTATTCATTACCTGAGCATTATTCAACAACCAAATACTGTTTATTCTCCTTCTAAATATATTGGTTACTTTTTTGCCGAATTTCGAGTCCAATGGAAGGGACAATTGTGCCATTTTTTGTTGCTATGTACATCTTGCAGATCATAGTAAAGATTAAAAATAAACAGTTACGCGGCAAATTTGTTTGGCAAAGAATTAAAAAACATAATTGTGTATTGATATGAACAACATCAAATGGATAATATCGGATTTCTATCTCCCTATGTCATACTAAGTAAATATTCGAGAAAAGAAAAGTTTGTTCTACATGTTAAACTTGTTTTCTTATGATAACAAATTTTTACTTACTGAATTTAA